CCCGGAGGGTTCGCGGTGGTGGCTCTGTGGGCGTTTCTGCCGGGTCTGCGTCCGACCCAGGGGCGCCTGCGGTCCTTTGCAAGCAGCCTTGCTTTATGGGTGAACAAAATATTCGATCAAACGGTCGTGTCGTTGCTTTAGCGCCGTGTGAAGCCGCTCCGTGAGGAGCCCGTCGGACAAGTCTGTCCAGCCAACCGCGTGGGTTAAGGCAGCAGCCACGCGTGGCCGTGCTGTCCTAGCCAGAGCAGGACCAGTTGGGGCAGGATTTTAAGGTTTTAGAGCCGCGTTTGTACCATCAAGCATTGTGGCTTTTTGCTGAAACAAAAATAAAACGCTGCAGAGGGAGTTTGTTGGATGAGATGTCACTTCTTTTCCTGAAAGATTTGAATGCTAAGTTGTAGAAGGGGATAATTTCACTCTTGGTGGAGTTCCAGCTTCCCAGGTAACACCTGGGCCCTAACAGCGTGCTTCAAAAAGGTTCTTCATTTAAGAAGTCCTCTGTGGGTTCCACCTCTGAATGCTTCCCAGCTGGTTTTCTCTCTGGTTCTCTGGCTGGCTTCATTTTTCAGCTGTGACAGCTCCAAGCTGGCAGCTGTTCTCTGTGGCTGCCGTGCTGCTGAGTACAAGAGCAGGTATGGGTTAGAAAAGATGGGTGTTACAGGTCAGGTTTAGTGGTGTGCCAACAGATTTACATGAAGGGCGTGCAGCAGCATTGGGGCGGCCTGCAAAGGTGGCATAAGACTGCAGACACTTGGCTTTGAACCCTTTCAGCTTGCACGTTTTTGTTGTCTTAGCATACGTTGATTTTTAAGTTTACATGATCTTTTGTGAGATAAGGCACAGGGCTTTACAGGGCCTACAGACTAGGACTTCAGAATGTCCCTCTGTATGTGCAGTAGCTGTCTTTTGGATGGCAAGCACTTGGCTTCAGATTCTGTAGTGGCAGATTACTTCTGTCTAGAAGGGTTTACAGACATAGCAAATAGCAGACCCCATCTGAATTATTTGCTTGGGATGTTCGGAAGGTGACAATAAATCTCCCCCAGGGAAGAAACTGAAAAATTTGAACTCCCATTGTCTGTGTATTTGTAAACACATTGCAAGTGTCAGGTTTCATCAAAGATACAAGGAATTTGTAGGAAAAAAACCTGAAAAATTGTAATTGCAAAAAACTTCAATGTTTAATTGTGACAAACTCTTTATTTTTTTTTTCTTCCTAAAATCCTGGTGTTATTAGTTCAAGTACAAGTCCTGAAGGTTTACAGGATTTTTTTATACTTTCCCATCTTGTTCTTTTGTGCAGTGCTTTTGACTCAAGGTTTTAAATAATTTAGTATTTATAGTTCACACAGTGATTTTGTCTCTACAACAGTTACAGCAGTTTCATGGTACAGTATAAATTTATTTAGTTTCTTTTAAAAATGTGAAATTACAAGTTATTTCACCTTAAAGGACATCTTGGCTATATAAATAATTTCTTGTTTAGCAATGAAC